ATCACCATTTCTCAATATTAACCTTGATAAATTGAACATTAACATTGAAAAATAATATTTGTAAGTGTTATTCATAATTTTTCTTATTAATTTTATTTTGTTTTCATTTCTATATGGACCTTAAAATCATACGATTTCACAATTTGATTTTACAATTCGACTTTACTCTTTTTTTCAATTTTAGATAAAATCTCAATTTTGGAATAATATGACTATGAAATGACCGAACCACAATTATAACATAAAATTTCTTATCATATACTAATCCAAACTTACAGTATGATTTTTCAATTCTGAGTAAAAAACTTGTGTCACATCGGAAGGATTTGGTTAGGACCATGCAGACACTCTTCGAATTCTGTCCCTTGAAGGTGGAAACACTACTTCTTTGAAATCCCCTCAAATTAGGGATTGCAAATTTGCCCATACCCATGGGTATTTCACTGTCCAATCAAATTGAGTTGGATATGAAATTCAAATAGATGAATATGGATAGAGTTTGATGGGTTTGTACTCATACTCATTTACTTGGGTTGGGTTGGATTTTTAACAAATGGATTTGGGTTTGTACCCATGCCCAAATACAAATTACAGTTTGGTACCTAAATTTTATAGATATACATGTTTTGTATCTATTTTTTATTTGCATATAAGTCCTCAAAATATCGATGGAAATTAATATTTTGGTACCTAAATTTTTTTGGCCTTACATTTTGGTACCTAGACATTTTAAGTTTTACAAATAGGTCCATTTTTTTTATGTGTAGTTAAAATACTTTCAAATAAATGAATATTCATATCCAGCCCATATTCATTTAGATTACGAAAGCAACATCTATACATAATTCAAACCTATATATACCTCGTCCATACCCAATCTATTATCAATGGGCTACTTAAATTTGAGTATAATTAATAATTGCCTTCCCTACCTCAAACCACTTTTCACCCACTCAAGTCAAGAGTAAATACCCCATCAGCTGAACTTATCTCTGGTTACACACTTTGAAATAAGTCTTGCTGAATCCAAACAACTTTACCATCAAAAGTCATCGGTGCAGGATAGCCAAAGACACAGTTGTTTTAGTACCGACCACAATAATGGAGTGGGTCATCGTCATCATGTTTTTTTTTTTAAACAATCGTCATCAAATCATGTTGATGCCACTTCATTATTTGTCCAACGAGAAAAAAACAAGCGAGCTCGAGCCAAGTTTATCACGTGGCTCTAATCAGTACAATCAATGTCAGTTTTGTCAAGAAAAACTAGAATCAAATTCATATATACCTAAAGAACGTAAGATAAAAACACATTGGGGATTCCTCCAATGCATTCAATGTAATTTGAAATTCCTTATCTACTAATTAAGTAGCCAGGTTACACGGGTGTAAAATATATTAGTTATTACATAATGTTTACTCATTGTTGTTTATCATACCTAATAGTTGTAAAATAGTGTTATCTGATTGTTATGTATAAATGTCATTTTTATCGTAATGAATATAAATAGTTACATAAGATGTTGAAGCATTACGCAAGTTTTATGTAACTTGATGTTAAACTTTTACATAAGAGATAATTGCATTATGTAAGAAATCGTTAATTGACCGTTCGTTTACCTAATGAATATTCATCCTACATTACGAAAAGTATTAAGTCATTACGAAATTTGAACATAACACTTCTAATCAGTTAATTGCTACGTAAGAGACCACTGCCATTTCGTAACACTTACGTAATTGATGTGCATGTTATGTAATAGTTGTACAATATCACTACGTAAACCTTACGTAATGAAAAGACCATTTTACATAATAAATATTAATACTATAGTACATTAAATGTTAAGTCATTACGAAAGTCTTACTTAACACTTATAATTTAATTTTTGCACATAAGAACTATCATGTAAGAACTATCATGTAAGATCGGTGGAGGATCTGGATAAGATCGGCGGCGAGAGGAGAGGAACGGGGTTGGCTCGCCGGAATCTGGGCTGTTGTTCTTCATTCATTTTTTTTTTTTCCAGAACCTATGCGCCGCCGTTGCTGCGAGTTTCAGCAGCTGTTTTCTGACCTTCCCAGCTCTGGGTTTTGGGTTTTTGGCTCGTCTACTGCGATCTTCCTTCCTCAGAGATCAGTCGAACAAAATTGATGAGTGCCCCACGGTGGGCGCCAATTGTTTGATCCTAGTAACTCAGGACACGGACAATGATATTTGTTGGTGTGGGTTGACTCGTCATTCGTTCGTCTGATCTCGTCGGGAGGGAAAGAACCTGTGAAAGAGTCGGGGTTGCCCCCCGGATTAAGCTCCGACGGTCAAGTTAGTGTCGGTTTGTGGAGAGAGTTGAGAGAATAGATAGAGAGATAAAGTGTAGAGAGATAGTAGAAAGTGGAAAGTGAGGAGAGAGAGAAAGTCCTCTTCTTTGGAGGGCTTCAAGCCCTTATATACCTGTAGCGGGTATCGAGCGTTGGGCATCGCCGATTATGCGCCCTGCTGCTTAGTCTGTGCGCTCAGTCCCTTAGTAACACCCCCAACAGGTCATTTTACATAATAAATATTAATACTATAGTACATTAAATGTTAAGTCATTACGAAAGTCTTACTTAACACTTATAATTTAATTTTTGCACATAAGAACTATCATGTAATAACCCTTACGCAATATATTTGTATCTTCCATTACAATTATAAAATGACTTTACCTCGGCCTAGGTAACATATAATTTTTACTATGATAGTATCTTATTACGTTTAGTGTCAAATAGTTACAGAAAGTTTACCTAACCAAAACAACTTAACCTAAAATTCCCTAAAATTAATAGGGGCCGGGAATGCTACCTAAAGTGGCCGGTTCCCATTAATTCTTTTTTCTAACCAACGATCACAATTTCTCACCCTTGCTTTTAGTGGACCAGATTCACCTAAATCACCAAACTTAAATTAATGCCAAGGTACCGTAGGATAGGAGGTCCCTAAAAATAAAAATATTATGAAGAAACTATCAATATTTAGTATGCTTTTATCACTGTACTGTACTATGATCTCATCTTTATGCAAAAGTTTTTTCTGATAATTTTCTGCAAAAGATTAGGTGTGTGCATGGAGTCGGCCCACCGCTGAGCCAACTTCATATTATTGTCCTGTAACCACCCTATGCAGTGGCGGACACAAGATTATTGAAGAGAGGTGTCGCAAATAAAAATTTATAATAAATAAAATAATTAAATAAAAATTTAATAGAAATTACTGGAAATTCATTTATAAGTTCACAATGTCATGTTTGCTACGAATTATGACAATTTTTCATATCCTAAGTTTTTTTTTTTTAAATGCATTCATCGTTTATGTTGCAAATCATACATTTTTCGATATACACAACTACTTAATCATTCATAAATTAGTCACTCAACCAAAGAGAATCGACCTACGTCTAAAATCAAATTAAGTTAAAATAAATTAGTATACAATCAAATATAGTAAACTACAATCTACCAATAGGCAATTTTAGAAAAAACAAAGTATGCCTAAAGTAATATCATTAGCATTTTTTCTCTAGTTCTACCAAATTAATCAAAATCAAATCACAATCTCTCATAAATATACGCAATTCACCTATTAACTACAAATCGACAAGCTAAGTTAAATTGGGTTATGGGTTACTTAAAACAAGTATGCTTATTTGAATTTACTTATTATTGTTAATTACTAATTATGATGAATAACTTTATAACATTAAAACTATTGTCGTATAATAAAGGTGTGTCGCTTATAATTATTAGAACGGTGTCGGAAGTCCCAAATTAAATTTTTTTTACTCTATCTAATGCAATATGTTTATCTACGTTGAGAACGAGATAGACTAATTACTTATGTTGTTATCATACTTAAGTTATTGTCATTTTCGAACACAAATAGAACTTTTAACTATGAATATACATGTCTCGTGTATATATACACGAGAATATATATTGAACAATCACTAGCAGTACTAGTATTAGTTAATGAATTTAAAACAGTGGAGGTCTCCTAATACTTAGTGCAGGGCTGGCCAAGAGGGTGTGCCGGGAGGCCCTACTGGACAGGACTTTCGAATTTTAGAAAGCCTCTACTTAGATCCGTAAGTTAATCCGTTAGTACATTGTAGGTTGTATTTGTAGCGTATGCTTAATTGATTATGATCAATACAGTGATGAGTTTAATTATATTAATTAATATTAATATTAGTCATTGGTTAATATTCTCATGTATATATACGATAGACGTATATTGATTATAAAAGTATTGTTTGTGTTTCAAAAATCCTATTTATATTAATTTTTAATGATGGCAACTGAAAATAATTTCATGAAAGATACAAAACTTAAAGAGATAATAAATAATTTCAAATAATACTGACATAGTAATTTTAACTTTATTTATTTTTAAAAGTTAATTTGGGCCCCACCCTAATTTAGAGACCATGTAATTAAGTGGCAGTTTAATATCCACAATAATCCAATGGGTCATCATCGTTATCTTGTTGATTGATCCCACTTTCATTATTCATCCTACGAGGAAAAAACAAGCAAGCTCGAAAACAAAGTTCATCACGTGTCTTTTAGTCAGTACAATCAATGCCACTTTATGTCAAGAAACAATAGGAAGAGAATCAAATCCACCTAACGTACCATAAAAACATTACGAAGAAACTATACATTTCGTACGCTTTTTTCGCTGCACACTGTGTCATCACATTTTTCTGCAAAAGTTTTTTTTGCTGATAATTTTCTGCCAAAGATTAGGCATGCATGTAGTCGGGCCCACCCGTTCAGCCCAACCTTCATATTATTGTCCTCGAGGCCGGCCCACCAACGTACGGCCATTGAATGGCCCAACCAGTCAGCTTGCCTATAAGTACAATAATTTAAAGAGAGCGAGGTCGTGTGGAAGATAGAAACAATATTCTAAAGAGATAGAGAGAGCGGGAGATAAAATCAAACGTAAAAAAAAAAAAACTATGTCGACGGTGGCCGGATTGCCCAAGTATGTGGTGCTGAAGTCCAAGAACGACGGGAAGTACCTTCACTACCTCTGGAACGACGAGTTCGGCGCCTACTACAAGGACCTGGGATGCAAGCGCGACGTTGACCCGGTCAACCCGTTCGTGAAATTCGAGGTTGTCCCTTCCACCGCCGACCCGACCCTCGTCCACCTCCGCTGCTCCTACAACAACAAGTTCCTCCAGCTCGTCAGCCTGGACGGCCTGCGGTGGATCTCCGCCACCGCCGCCACCGCAGACGAGGACAAGACCAAGGACACCTCCACCCTGTTCCAGCCCATCTTCCCGCCCGGCGAGCCCAACACCGTCGGGTTCCTCCACGTGCAGTCCCAGTGCCACCTCAGGACCTTCTTCAACAAGGAGTACAGCGACGAGATCAACCACGTCGCCTGTGTCTACACCAACGACGGCAGTGGGTTCCACCGCTACGAGTTCGTGGCGTGGGAGTCGTACGAGGACAAGATGAAGAAGAAGGACGAGGAGATCGAGAAGCTGAAGGCCGGCGACGGAGAGAGCCTCACCGCCGACGCTATAGTCGCGGAGCTGAGGAAGGATATAGCCGAGCAGAACGCGCAGCTGGATGCTGCCTACAAGGAGATCGATGAAAAGGATAAGTTGATTGCGGCCTTGAAAGCAGCCGCCGCCGCCGCCGGCAAGTGATATGTCATTGTCCTGCTCCACTGCCCAGCACCTACCCTAATTAAGTTCCTAAATAATGATGAATTAATTAAGCTAGCTAGTAATCGTACGTTAAGGATCGACGATGGAGTTTCGATTCGGGTTTTAATGAGCTGTGCGTACGTAATTATATAGAAATAAACATCTCTATGTTGTTGTGAGATGGTTATGAGCTTGCCAGACAGTGAAGCTAGATCGGAAGTGCGGTTGTAATCCTTAGTACGTATGTGATTATGTTTTGGCGAGATCATAACCAATTTAATGCGATGGAGTGAACTTGTATTAAGATTTAAGAGTATCTTTTATATATTTAAGTAAGTGAACCATGATGCTTTATTAGTACTTGACTATACGTCGTATGGTTTGGTTTCTTTGGTCGATCATATTTTCACATTCTACCCACTTGGTTTCCTCTCAACGCTGAAACTACTCACCACCCACCATCCAAATCCAGCACCACCGGCGTAATACCCCCTTCTTCGACTCCAACCACAGTTCATACTAGCTAGGAGTTGGCATTGGTGCGGTCAAACCGCTCCAAACCACTTTTGCGGTCATCCAAACTGCACCATAAAACTTGCGGCCTAACATGCAGTCTAAGTTTTTAGCAGCTCGCGATTCATGGTCGGGTTAATCCAAAACTGCGCGGTTGCGGTTCAAAATCGCAACTAAATTTAATTCGTCTCCTAATAAATTTAATACCAGACGAGCATCATGTAAGCACATCGGAGATGCAGTGCTACCCCTGGCAGGTCATCATCAGGGACGATGGTTCACCTTCTCCGATAGTTGACAACGTGGACCCGTTGCCGCCTCCAACTCTCTTGCCCTTCTTCATCTTCATGTCAATGAAATCCATCGCGAACCGGCCTAGAAGTGCTTCTTTCCCCACATCTTGTATCTCTTTCAAGCTCTTCTTCCAAAATCCCATCGGTCTCCTGTGTTGTCTCCATAACAGAGAGTAGTATAAAGCTGAAAAATGGTGGCAAGATGGGGATGATTTGATATATTCTCAGAACCTGGCATATTTGGTGAACTAAAAACAGGGAAAGAGCTCCAAAGGAATAGAGCAACTTGTGCTGCCGATCCAAAGTCATTATTAGACGACATGATCTTCAGTAAACTAAGAGACTAGAAGAACGCTTCAAAGGGTACTGATGAGCACTTTGGCAATCACTGCACGAGTTGAAATCAACTAATGAGCAGACACATTAATTACCTGGTTGTTATTGTCAGTCTTGTACAAGATCAGTTATGGAATTGCGCATATGGTACTTATCCCAAGAGCTTCCTCCAATGTGTAGTCAATGGCATATGAATTTTTTTTTATGCTGCTACATTATCAAAAAAAATACCAAAAAGTGAGAAAAATAATACAAAGATGACTGATTATGCTGAATTAGAGAATATAGACTTATTAAGCAGAGGGTGTAAGTCTACATAGTGCAAGTTCTAGTATCTTTGATTGCATTTGATCCCACAAAATATTGTTTTCCTAGAATAAGGACATAAAAAATTCAATAAGTAATTAGGTAAACTTAAAAAATATAATGTCAACTAAATATAAAACAATCAGTCGAAAAACACTACAAATACATATTTGATTAGGGATTGCACATATATATATATATATATATATGCATGATTGCGGATAGCATGGGGAGATCCTTAGCAACAAAAAAGCGGTAATTATAGGATGGTATGGCAGGTGCGTTAGGGAGTTCTTTGACTACTATGTCATCACAGAAGTAGATTCAGAGAGTGGCAGGTGAAACCCTATAATCATCATTATATGCTAGGACAACAAAATTACTCTACACATAAATCCTTCTCTCATGAACAATGAGATGATACAATAGAGCCTGAAGCATATAAACTAACCTTTGAAACTCTGTTCCTTACAAATCACAATGAATTTCAGTTATGTGTTTTATAGTGTATGGTCGACTCTAAATTAGCTAGTGTGAAGAATTCTAATCTTTGTAGACAATGATACCTAGTTTTCAACAAACAACATATGAATTTGGTCAATTGTCATACCATCTGGCCTAACGCGAACAACTGAGTTCTCATAATGTAGATTCAGCTGTGATAAACTGAGGAGAGCAATGACTGATATCAAACAGTGAAGTAGAGCGATTAGCAAAGAAATGTCTTTCCAATACCTCCTGGACCATCAATGAAGAATGTCTTCCGTTAGTCACCATAAGCAGAGTCCATAATGAAACCATATGCTAATTTTTGTTGGGAATTTCACTTGGTCACTTTATGCTCAAATTGATGATGAAGATCTTCAACATTGTAACTAAGTTATGCTACAATCATTATGTTAGTTGAACATGCCAAATTCAGAGAAGCCACAAATGACAGACCAGCAATATTTGAAAGAGATTTGTGTCTTGCTAGAAGTCTTTTTTTTTTTCAAGCAAGAAACAGTCTTTCATCTTACCCACTCTCATAACCAAGTCAGGCATGTTCATCTCCAATTCTCCATTAAACAGTTGTGTGCAAGATATCATTAGATAATAATTGCAATTTGGCGGCCCAAAGACCTCCAATGTTTGAAACCTCACAATGGGTGAGGATAGTGACGAACAAATCTCTAAGTTTATACCCAGAAGCCTAAAATTATGCCTCTTTCAAACAATCATACCACTCATTATCTTCAGCCAACGATCCATGAGCATAACATGTCTCCTTGAAACACTGATGCACAACTCCATTGATTGTATTTTATCTCGTCAAAACTAGTACACCCTCAGACATGCAACAACATGTAGCACATTCATAAATTGGATTCCCACTTGTGCTAGATAATTGCTCTACTCCAGTGTTTGATATCAATCATGGCTCTCCTTAGTTTATCCTGGCTGAATCTACATGATAACAACTCAATTTCTTCGTATTAGGCTTCTTCGTTTATGGAAGACAATGAAGCCGGAGTGTGTGACAATTGACCAACTCCATATGTTGTTTGTGGAATACTAGGTATCATTGTGTACAAAGATTACATATATTTACACTAGCTAATCTAGAGACGCCCGTACACTATAGATCATTCTAACTTAAATTCATCGTGATTTGTAGGGAATAGAGTTTCAGAAACAATGTTTATATGCTTCAGGTTCCATTGTTTCATCTCATTGTTCATTAGTGAAGGATTTATGTGTTGAGTAATTTTGTGGTGCTAGCATATAATGATGATTATGGTGTTTCACCTGCCACTCTCTCAATCTGCTTCCGTGAGAACACAGTAGTCAAAGAACTTCCAAATGCACCTGACATACCATCCTATAGTTTTCGCTTTTTGGCTACTGAAGATCTTCCCCATGTTGTCCACAATCATGCATATATGTATGATATGTGCAATGCCTAATCAAATATGGATTTGTAGTGGGTTTTGTATCCAGTCACTATAACCTTGTTTGGGCCAGATTTAGTTGGAGAGGTTATAGACGTTGAGCAAGAACAAGCCGTATTCAAAGATGTTGTTGTCAAAGTTAATCTGCAATTCTGGGTAATTCTAGAAACTACACGTGAAGCATATGGAAAATGCAGGAGGTCTAGTCAATAAAAGATAAGCTTGTAATTAATACATGAAAACAAAATAGGCTGCAACTAAATAAGATAAAGTGATATGCATTATCACTACCAAGTTGGTACAACCGACAACAATTAATAGGCTCTTCCTAGAGTCTTCCTAATGGCGGTTGAAGCAACTATAAATAGTAGTAGTTTGTGGGCAGTAGAGTGGTAGAGAGGAAGAGAGCTAAAAGCTACAGCAAGAAAGAGCAGCAGCTCTTTTTATGCAAAGGCAATAATTGCCTAGCATATGTGAGATTAAAAATTATAATAATAGAGTGAAATAATTTTCTCTATATTTTTTGATCCTAAATCCCACCATATTTCCGATGTGCCCCAACAAATTTGGTATCAGAGCCGATATCATTTTTCTATCCTACTAAACTAGCCTCTCATACCCTATCGAAAAAAGTCACTAAAAAATCATGGCAGCAGTCCAAGCGAACACAAGGTTCGTAAATACCCCCAATCAAATTCCCATCTTTGATGGTGAACTTTACGAGTATTGGAGCGAACAAATGGAGACAATCTTCATCGCTCAAGAATTGTGGGATATCATTGAAGAAGGTTATGAGGAAGTCATGACGGAGGAAGACTCTGGAAAAATGTCAGAAGCAAAGCTCAAGCAATATAAGGCGAATGTCCGAAGGAATGCCAACGCCTTACGAATAATTCAACAGGCGGTCAGCAAAACTATATATCCTCGAATTTTTGGCATTAGAAATGCTAAAAAGGCATGGGAAGTTTTGCGGAATGAGTTTCAAGGCAAAGATCGGGCAATCTCCATCAAACGCCAAAATTTATGGCGAGACTTCGACAATTTGTCGATGAAGGAGACTGAAAGTATCAAAGACTTTCATTCTCGTGCAGCTGAGATAGTTAACCAGATAAAAGAAACTGGTGACACTATCGAGGAAAAGAAAATTGTGGAGAGAATTCTCCGCAGTTTGTCACAAAAATATGAGCATGTGGTGGCGGTCATTGAAGAGACAAAAGATTTGTCAAAATTAACAATGACTGAATTGATGGGCTCCCTCATCGCTCATGAGCAGAGGATGAGAAAGTTTATCGATCAACCACTGGAGCAAGTTTTTCAGTCAACATGACTGAAGCAAAAAATACCTAACCGGAGCAAGACCGTAGAGGAAAATCCGACGGCAAACGACAATAGGTACTGCGTTATCTGTCAAAAGACAGGACATGCAAAAAAATATTGCAAGTTTAAGTGACAAAGGTGGAGGAATCCAAATCACTCCCAAAGGGATTGTTGGTTCCAAAAGAAGCAAGGAGATGATCATGAAGACGAAGAAGCAAAATTCGCCCAAAGTGAAGAAATTAATGAATTGGCACTCTCATGCATCAAAGAAGATCAACTGGGAGACATCATGTCCAAGTCAGCT